CAGGGATTTGGGAAAGTGGGATTCAGGTGTTCTCTGTTGAAAACAGACAGGGTTTAATATTGCCCCACCTTGTGGTGTCCACTGAGTGCTCTGGGAGCCCCAAAGCCAGGCTGGGTTTGGGACACAAACCCAGTACAGGCGGTGATGGGGCTGTGGAGCAGCACAGGGAGCTGGGCCAGCAGCATTAAAAAATAAAAACTGCTGTCTTTATCAACATGTCAGGCACCATCCTGGAAGCACCAAGCCCACCGAGAAGGCTGTTAGGATTGTCTGTTGGGAATTTGTGCTGCCAGAAGCCGGGATTTGAGATGAGCACACAGAGATGGGCGGGTGGATCGGAGCTGCTCCTCGTAGGAGCTGCTAATGTGGGTTAGCATGCATAATTCAGGCCATCCCTCTTCCATGTTCAGAGCTCTGTAACTAAATACTGATTTGCTAAACACGACTTGAATAATGAAGCAATCTGTGGCTTGAAAGCCTTCCTCAGTACTGAAAAAAAAGGAAGTAAACAGAGCTGTATCCTCACTCCTGCTTTAAAGCAACACGGATATTCACCAGGTAGAAAAGTTATTTTATCCCTGTTTGCTCCATGGATTTAGARATGTGCACATTCCTAGTGTGCCCAGAGAGTGAGAGATGGCCTGTCCAAAGTGCTGCCAGTCCTTCCATCCAGAACTTTTCATTTTCTCAGCCATCACGGTTCATTCTGTGGAAAAACAGATTAAAAACTGCGCCTTGTGTTTCTTACTGAGGTGATGCGTAAGAAAATAAGTTGATGTGCAGTGTGGTTGTGTTTGCATAGGAGTAAACTCTGGGTCTGTTCTGAGCCACTTCAATTCCAATTGTGCCAGTAGGGTAAATTATTTTGGTTTTCCTCAGCCCCAGCTTGCCTCCCTTYGTTGAAATGCAAACACTTGGTATCTTGTAAGAGGCTAAAAATATTCTTACAGCCGATAAAGGCTTGATCTGACTTTTGAAAATATGAAGTGGTTTTTTTTTTCCCTGTGCTGTTGCTTTCTCAGTTTGTGTTTACAGTGCTGCAGCAGAGCACGGGGTATGGGGGCTCCCACTGCTCTCCTCTCCTTGCTTTGGGGAGGGGCAGGGTTTGTTGGTTGAATAAACTCCTCACACCTTGGCATTTCCCAGTGGTGGGCACTGCCAGCGCTGCCTTGTTTGCAGCTTGTGTCTCAAAAATTCAGGAWGGGATTCCAAGCAAGTAACTTCCCTGTCCTTTTAATTTTCGTACTGGAAGTGATCAGCTTTTCTGAGCTATTTTTGTAATTCATTTGGTGTGCAAGTTTCTTACCTAGTTCCTGTTTTTTTTAAAAAAAAAATTAATTTTTCTCCTGGTTCCTTTTTTTATGTGGTAGAAAATATTCCTTTGCATTGAAGCAGTGTGTTATAGGAACAGTCAAATTTACCTCCAAGAGGTGCTGAACACCTGCAAACCTCAATGCTTTGGTTATTTTCAGGCTGATCTGATTGATAATTAATTTTCCTGCTGTTCTTTTGGCCCAGAGAGTAGATCGTCACTTTTACACACCAATTTTTTGGTGTTCATGACTGTATATGGCACATGGAGGAGTTCTGGGGTGGGTTGGGTGGGGCTTGGAGCAGCCTGGGACAATGGGAGATGTCCCTGCCAATGGCAGCAGGTGGAATGGGATGAGCTTTAAGATCCTTTCCAACCCAAACCTGTCTGGGATTTTGTGGTTTTATGATTTTTGCCTTGCAGAATGAAAAGCAAGCTTCATATTCAATCGCTTGTGCCACAGGTTGGATGAAGGTACCAGTCTGGAAGGGGCAGGAAAGGTTTCTGTCACAAAGAATACCAAACATTTGCTCTGTAGCTCCTTAAATCCACGAGTGATTGTGAGAGGAGTTTGGGTGCTGCTCATGGTCTGGAGCACAGAAATAAAAAAAATCAACAAATCCCGAGCAGGAAGGAGGCTTCTCACAGCTGCAGAGTGGTGTTAAATTGTTAAATGTTTTAAGGAAGCAACAGTGAGCTCAGCAAGGACAAGACTGTGTGTGCGGGCTGGAGCTCCACTCTGCTGCTCCTTTCCCTCCTGAGTCCTTGTCCACCAGAGCACAGCCAGTTCTGTGCAGCAATTTTAGCTTTTGGAAGGACAGGGCTGTGTGTGCAGGCTGGAGCTCCACTCTGCTGCTCCTTTCCCTCCTGAGTCCTTGTCCACCAGAGCACAGCCAGTTCTGTGCAGCAATTTTAGCTTTTGGAAGGACAGGGCTGTGTGTGCAGGCTGGAGCTCCACTCTGCTGCTCCTTTCCCTCCTGAGTCCTTGTCCACCAGAGCACAGCCAGTTCTGTGCAGCAATTTTAGCTTTTGGAAGGACAGGGCTGTGTGTGCAGGCTGGAGCTCCACTCTGCTGCTCTTTTCTCTGTTGAGTCCTTGTCTCTCAGGACCAGTTCTGTGCAGCAATTTTGGCTTTGAGCTGACCCCCATCCTAACAGCTGCTTTTGGGTTTTGTCCCCCACGCAGGAGGAAGAATGGCCACGCGAATATGAAGTAGAGCGCTGCCTATGCTGGCGGGTGTCGGCTGCACGGGGACGGGCTCTCTCCGCCGGCCAATCCCATTCCCGAGCGGGACACCATGAAGCCCAGGAGGAGCTGCCCGGCGCGCCGGGGCCGCGGCGGCCGCTGCCCGCTCTGAAGCGCCAGTGTCCCCGGCGAGATGAAAGAGGTGGTGCTGTGGTCACCCGAGGAGGTGGCCGGCTGGCTGACGGACAATGCCGTGCCGGAGTACTGTGAGCCCCTGAGGAGCTTCACCGGGCGGGACCTCATCAACCTGACCGAGGAGGATTTCCAGAAATCCCCCCTGTGCCGGGTGTCTTCCGACAGCGGCCAGCGGCTGCTCAACATGATCGAGGGGCTGAAGATGGCTCACCACATGGAGGCTCACAAGAACGGCCACGCCAACGGGCACGTCCGCGCYGGTGACGCCGCGCGCCACAATGGCTTCGGCGCCGCGCTCCAGCTCAACGGGGTCCCCAACGGCTTCAAGAAGGAGATGATCAAGATCCCGATGCCGGAGCCGGAGCGCTCGCAGTATCCCATGGAGTGGGGCAAGACTTTCCTGGCTTTTATTTATGCACTTTTTTGTTTCGTCTTCACCACGGTGACTATCTCGGTGGTTCATGAACGAGTGCCTCCCAAGGAGGTGCAGCCTCCCCTCCCAGATGCATTTTTTGATCGCTTTGATCGGGTGCAATGGGCTTTTTCTATTTGTGAAATCAACGGCATGATCCTTGTAGGACTGTGGTTTGTTCAGTGGCTGCTCTTGAAATACAAGTAAGTAAAACCTTTTCAAAAMTGGGGTGGTTTTGSAGGGYAGATGCTGGTTTGCATCCAAGCACRATGAAGTTTCTTTGTGATCTCCTTGCCTTGGTTTTCCAAGCTGAAATAGGGMTCACACAATGCTTGGAGAAGGCAAGGGTTCAAATGTTCCCTAAGAAACTGAGCAATACCCCAGATCGTGTTTGCCTGTACCATTCACTTGAACCTTTTCCATGGGTGAAAAGCCATGAAGTGGGTGAAATGATGTTCTGAAGTTGCTGTTTGTTTAGAGGGAGCACAGCTGTGAGGACAGCTGTGAACCAGCATCCAAGGGAACAGCTGGAGCTGGGCCAGGGCAGGGTTTAGGGTGGGCATCAAGGAAAGGTTCTTCCCCAGAGGGTGCTGGCACTGCCCAGGCTCCCCAGGGAATGGTCCCCGAGGCTGCTGGAGCTCCAGGAGTGTTTGGACAGCACTGTCAGGGATGAACAGGGAGGGATTGCTGGGGTGTCTGGGCATGGCCAGGAGCTGGGCTGGATGATCCCTGTGGGTCCCTTCCAGCTCAGGAGATCCCATGATTTTAAACCCAAGAGACACACCTAATGGAGGTGGTGTGGGATTGCCCTCAAGAAGGAGGCGTTGGGTTGGTAGGGCGACACCAGGGATCAAACACTGTGGTGGAGCTGAGCAGAGGCTGCAGGTGAAGAACAGCAGAACCCTTGGAGGTTCTGAAGCACTGAGATGTAGGTTGGGTTGATGACAACATGCTGGTGTCTTTGACAGGTGTGAAGGTCCCCCCTACTCTGTCCCCCATTTGCTTTGGGGTGTTTGTTTTTATTTGTGTTACAGAATCACAGAAAGTTTGAGRGTGGAAGGGACCCTAAAGATGATCCYGTTCCARCTCYTGCCAYAGGAAGTTCCCTTTTCTGGTGTTAGGGGAAGTAAGTTAGGGAGTCACAGAGCTTCGTCAGTGTATGCACTGATAATGGAATGCTTTGAACACCAGAATCCCTCTTTTGTATCCGTGAGCAGAGGGATCAAAGCCTGAGAGACCCGAGCTGTGGCTGAGCAGCAGAATGGGAAGAGCAGGAGGGAGGTGCTGGCAGGTACAGGAGCMCAGCGAGGTGTCTTTGTCTGGAGGACCTCGTTGGTGTGGCTTTGGAGGGTGAACACCCCAAGGATGGTCGCCGCAGAAAGAGCTGAATCCCTTGGGTGGTGTGAGGGATCCCCTCCCTTGGAGACTTCATTTTGGACTGAAGGGAGGGCACTGGGTCAGATGGACCTTCCTGTCCTCTGCTTCCCTATCCCTGGCAATGTCCAAGGCTGGACATTRGAGCTTGGAGCAGCCTGGGACAGTGGAAAATGTCTCTGCCCATGGTAGAACTAGGACTGGATGGGATTTGAGAGAAAAAACCCTGCACAGGAAAAACTCTGCTCCAATACCCTGCACACTTCAATTTCWGTCCATTTTGCTTCTAAATAATTATAATTTGTTACTCACAGCTTTGTCCATGTTTACACCAGGAGAGGGAAGAAAAATRTCTGGAATACTGTATTGCACTCCAGTGCAAAATGTGTTTACCCTGCAAGAGTTGGAGCTTTCCTGACAAATCAAGGCACTCRGGGTGTTACTGATCTGGCACTGCGCAGTCATACTGCTTCCAGAGTGGARCACTCCAGTTTAATAACCCTGCCAAAAGCACTGAAAAATGTAAAAAAATGGCCAATTGTGAGTTTTGAAAGAACTCAGCTTGCTAGGAATATTATTTTTTTAAAAGTAAGCAAAATAGCAACAAGTGAATTCCAGTGCCTGAAGGAAACCTCCAAGAAAGAAGGAGAGAGACTCTTCAGAAGGGCCTGGTGACAGGACACAGGGAATGGGGTCA